TCAAGTCTCATGGGGTTTTTAGGGCCACTAGGTGGTGCCACAGTATACAGAGCCTGGAGTCAGAAGACTCATCTTCCTAAGTTCAAATCCAACTTCAGATACTTCCTAGCTGTGTGACCCTGGGCAAGTCATTTAGCCTTGTTTGCCTCAGTTTCTTATCTGTAAAATGAGCTGGAGAAGAACATGGCAAGCCACTCCAGTATCTTTGACAAGAAAACCCCCAATGGGGTTACAAAGAATTGGGCATGGCTGAAAACAACCGAGCAACAATAAATCCCCAAGGTTAGAGCTCTTGGTGGCAGAGGTCTTGGTCTACTGCAGGGAAGGGCTCAGAGCTCCTAAGCCTCAGGTGGGGTGCCTCATGACTATATCTTATTGGGGTGGGGCTCAGGGCATCTCATTTCAGGGGCCACCAGACTCCTAGTCTCTGTGGGGGCTGGAACTCAGGGCTCTGGGCTCCTGGAGGGGCTCAGAGCTCTTGTCTCAGGTGGGGGTGGGGGTAGGAATGAGACTCAGAACACCTGTGTCTCAGGTGAGGGGTTAGGGTTTCTGATCAACTGGTGGGGCCTGAAGTTTTCCTCATCTTATGGGGGACCAGAGTCCCCAAGTCTCAAATGGCAGGTCAGGCTCTGGGTTCCCAAGTTGGGGAGAGGGCGCTTCAGGATTCTTGGTCTCAGGTGGGAGAGGGGTACTTGGAGCTCCTGGTCTCAGGTGTGGCAGGGAGGATGCTGGGAGTTCCTGAACTTGGAGAGGGGAGATGGGCTCAAGGTTCCTGGTCTCCAGTGTGTTCATGGTGGGAAGGAGGTTCTAGATCCCATGTCTTGGAAGCTTGGGCTCTAGATTTCTCTTCTGGGGGGAGGGGAGCCCTCAGAGTTCCTAAATCTAAGGTTGAGAAAGGGAGTGTCAGAGTTCTTAAATCTGGGGCAGGGCGCTGTGGATTCTTGCCTCAGGTTGAGAGGAAATGGGGTGGGGGGCGATGTTTAATAATCAGAGATCCTGGTTGGGGGAGGATGACGATCAGGGTCACTGGTCTTATGGGGGGATGAAAACCACTAAGTCTCTGCTGGGGGTGAAGTGTCAAGTCTCAGGTACAGGGTCTGGCTTAGGGTTCCTAAGTCTAGGGGTGGGTGGGAGGAGGACCAGGCCTCCTGGTCTGGGGACAGTTCAGAGCCTCTAAGGCTGGAGACTTTCCAGTCTGCAGGGTGGCTCAGGGTTCCTAAGTCCAGGAACAAGTAGGGGGCCTTAGGGTCCCTCGTCTCAGGTGGGGGGGAACCTCAAAGCTTCTAAGTCTCAAGTGGAGGGGGCCCTTCAGGGCACCTGGTATCAAGTGAGTGGGTGGGGGAGGGGAAACTTGGAGTTCCTGGTTTCAAGAGGGAAGAAAGGACCTCTGGGATCCAGATCTCAAGGGGATGGGGGGTGGGGGGTGGCGGGAGTTGAGGCTCCTATGTCATAGGTTGAGGAAGCATTACTCAGAACTCCTGGTCTTCTTGGTCGGAAGGGGTCTCAGCACTCCTACATCTCAGGTGGAGGGTTGGGCTAAGGGCTCCTAAATCCAAGGGTGGGAAGGGGGCCTCAGCTGCTTGGGGCAGCTCAGGATTCCTAAGGCTGGGGGAGGGCTCTTAGGGCTCCTAGTCTTGGTAGACCTCAGGGCTCCCTCATGCTGGGTGGGAGGGAGATGGGAGGAGGAGATAAGCTCTCAGTGGTCCTAAATATGAAGGGCTCTTAGGGGTCCTGGTCTGGGGTGTGGGGTGAGCACAGCTTCTCTTTGCCTCAAATGGGAATGAGGGGTTCAAGGCTTCTGGTCTCTTTCAGAGAGGGGCTCAGGGCTTCTCTTTTCAAGAGGGTGGTCTCAGAGTTTCTAGTTTCAGATGGGGGTGGATCAGGGCATCTAGTCTCTTGAGGTGGGGAGTTCATGGCTTCTGGTCTAGGTGGGCAGCCTTCTTAAGTCTGGGCTCCTGGTCTGGGAGGCTTGAGGATTCCTGGTCTTATTGGAGGCCCTTAGCACTACTGGGGTGGGGGGGTGCTAAGAGCTCCAGGGTAGGGGATGGGGAATTAGGGTTTTTCTGTGCCTCAGGTGGGAATGAGTGACTCAGGGCTCTTTCAGGTAGATGGGTTCTGAGTTCCCATCATATGGGAGCCGGGGGGCTCCTGGTCTCAGGAACAGCACTCCTAAGTTTGGGGGACCCTCAGGGTTCCTGGTCTAGGGAAAGGTCTTTGGGCTCATGGTCCCATGGAAGGCCCACAGCGCTACTGAATAGGGGGGAATCTTAGGGCTCCTGGTCCCATGGGGGAGGGGCTCAGGGCTCCTATGTCTCAGATGGGGAGCCCGGGGGCTTATGGTCTCGTGGGGGAGGGGCTCAGGGCTCCTATGTCCCAGACGGGGAGCTCGGAGTTCTTGGTCTGGGGGGCCCTCATCGCTCATAATTTTGGGGTGCCTCAGGGCCCTTGAGGGTGGGGGTCCCCTCAGAGGGCCGGGGGTTGGGGGGGAGGGATTTAAGATCTGAGGTCTCTCTAGAGCTCCGCCTCTTTCCGGCTCTGGGTCCTGAGGCCCTGATCGTCCGCCTCAGCCTCCCTGTCTGTGTCCCCGGGGGAGAAGGAAGAATCTTAGCTCTCTTCCAGTCTCTTCTCGCCTCTTCTCATCCTCTCTCCTTTCTCTTGACTCTGCTGTTCTCTGGGTCCATGACGTAGGCAGGGCGGAGCGACGGCATAGCAACCGTTGCTAGGGAGGGACGGGGCGGATTTGCTCAAGCAGGAGCCAGGCGCTCATGAATATTCAATTAGGTAAGTAGCCCCCGCCCGCCTGTCACCATGGGAACAGGTCCCACGCGCTGCCTGCGGTGGTCCAGCTGAGGCCCGAGTGGCCGAAGCAAGGCCAGGTCTGGGTGGGGTGGGGGAGCCTCGGGCAAGTGAGAAGATCTGAGGCGGCTGAGGTAAGGCGGGAGCGCATCTTCCCACACCTGCCCCTTGGGGATGGCCCCCAAAGAAACAAGACTCTTCCAGAGAGAGACTCTCCATAGAGAGAAAGTACTGAGAGGCTCTCAGAGACACTGACCCTACCTACCTAGAGAGAGACCCCACAGCATTCCGAAAAGGACGCTGTTGGCCCCTACCTGCTTCTGCTTGGAGCCCTCCCGGGCTGAGGAGTCACCTCCGTGGGCAACACCTCAAGCTCTGGGCAGCTCTCACTTTCAGCTGTTTGTCCAGCCCTCTGGAATTTAAATCAGCCTCTTGGCCTATTACTCCCTCCTCTCTGCCCTTTGGGGCCAAGAGAAAGAAGACCGGCTTCTTCCCAGGTCAGCCTTTCAAGTCCACTTCCACAACTTTCCTGTTCCTTCCAAGGCCTTCACTTCTCCTGGGAAAACAGTGTCTTTAGTTCCTTATAACTTGGACTCCAGGCCCTTCTCCATCCTGGCTGCCCATTTCGGGTGCTTACCTGTGCCCACAAATGTCCCCCTCTGCAGCCCATGGTGCTCAGATCAGAGTGCAGGATAAAACCAAGATTGAAAGCCTGGGAGGGTAGAAGGATGCTAATGCCTTTGGAAGAAAAAGGGTAGGGCATGTAGGTGGGCATGGGGAAGATGATGAGATTGGCTTTGGACCTGTTGAATTTAAAATGTCTCTAGATCATCCCGTTTGAGATATCATATATATGTAGTTGGAAAGGCATGACCAGCTCAGGAGGGAGATTAGTACTGGCTATATAGATCTAAGTATGCTAAGTAGTTGTACCTATGGGAGCTGATGAGATCCTCTATCGAGTGAATAGAGACAAGAGAAGAGAAAGGGTCCGGGACAGAGCCTGGGGGACACCCATGGTCAGTGGCTGTAGAATGGGGGATGAACCAGCAGACGAGTGGTCAGACAGGTCAGAGGAGTATCACAAAAAGCCAGAAAAATGGGGATCCAGGAGGAAAATCAGTGCCTACCACAGAGAAAACTGATGCTTGTCAATTAGTTGATTGAGGTGATCCACAGCGTCAAATGCTCCAGGAAAGTCAAGAAGGGTGAGGGTTTCAAGAGACTGTGACATTTGGTTAAGAGGTCATTCAGAGATCATTGATGACTTTGGAGAGTTTCAGGAAAAGGATGAGGTTGAAAGATGAACTGCAGATATTTAATAAGAGGCAGAGGAAAGAAAATGGAGCCACCGATTAGAGATGGCCTTCTCAAAGAGTTCAGCCACAAAAGGGAGAAGAGCTATGAGGTGTTGGCTGGTTGGCTCCAGTGAGGTTTTCTTGAAGATGTTTGTACGAAGCAGGGAAGGAGCCAGGGAGCAGCAAGAGACACTGAAGACTAGTGAGGGAGGATAGGATGATAGAGGGGACAATATGCTGGAGAAGGTGGGAAGGAATGGGGTCACATCTCTATAGGGGCCTTACCTAGAAAAGGAAAAAGGTCACTTCTTCATATGACACACAGGGGAAGGACAGAGAGTAAGGGATGATGACAGAGAAGCATAAAATGAGCAGGAAGGAAGAAGCCCCTTCTGGCCAATGCCTCCTCTGCTCAGCAAAGTCAAAGCCTTCAGATAACAGGGAAGGAGGGAGGGAGGGGGAGAGGCTAGGAGAAAAGGGAAGATTTGGAAGGGCCTCTGTGGAGAGAACATGGGAAGACTAAAAGGAATGATTGGCTGCAGTGAGGACCCAGATCAAATGAAATAACATGAGAGCAGCCTGGTTTGAACTTCCTCTGGTTCTTTTCAGCTTCAGTGCAGGAATGAAGGAGGCAGATGGTGAGGGCCATTCAGGGCTGGGATATGCATGACCACACAAGGGACTGAGAAGAACTGAATTGGTATAGGGAAGGAGGAGAGTGAAGCCAGCGCAAGGGTGAGGAGAGAAGAGAACTGGAGAATGGAGGCTTCTGGTGAGGACTAAGGACGGTTTTACAAGCAGTAAGTCACAAGGAGAAATGGAATGATTGGCAATTATGACCTATTAGAGGAACTTTGGAGCTCTGGAACAGGGAAATAGAACTGTGCTGGGCAGTGATCAGACAAGGAGGCAGAGGAACCCGTTCTCTTGTCAGGAAAGACAACCAGCACACTTGTGAACATGTCTGTCTGTGGCTGAGTTGTAGTGGAGGAAAGGAGGTCATGGGAAGTTAGAACATTTGAACAAACATTAAAGTGTGTGCTCAAGTCCCCTAGTATGAGGGCAGGAGGTGGGGAGAAGATCCAGACCGTGAGCCCAGAGCTGAATTCACTGAGGAGGGAAGGACAGGGTCTGGGGGTCCATTGTAATGGCCTCAGGATCTGGATTAGGTGATGATATATTTGGATGAATGAACCCCAACAGAAGAGAGGTGGCTGGTGATGGTGGTAGGGGAAGTGCCTGGAAGAGGCCATTAGGAGCAAAGAGAATTCTACCTCTCCCACCATGACCAAGTAAGTGGCTACAAGTCCAAGTGAAGCCAATGCTGGAGACAGTGGCCAGGGAGACCAGTATCATATGGGAATGAGACGTCTCAGAGCTCGAAGAGGAAGGAAAAGGGCTTGGGGTTACTTCTGCCATTCTAGTGGGTTCACAGGGGTATTTTAAGATTGTAAATTTTCATTACTCTCATTTCTTAGGGAATTATAGCATCTTCTGAGGTTGTTTGAAGTTTGAATGTCCTCCTTCGTAAATTCTTTGTTCCTATACTTCAGCTATTGCTCTAGGGGGAGAGAAGGTACAGCATTAATCATAGAGGTAATATTAGAGGTTTTTTTAATAGACTTTTTTGCTCCAAATATTTTTCCCAATCTGTTTCTTATTGAGACACCGATTTTTATAGTGCAAAATCCTGTTACCTTTTCTAGAATCAAAATCATAAATTTTCTCACCAATGATAATATTTGTAAAGCATTTGACACAGGGCCTAGCACCCAGCAGGCATTTGATAAATGTTTTTTTCCCTTCCTTTCCTTTCCTTCTGCTGCATAACAAGCTCATTTTTCTTGCAGTTCTTAAAAACAGCAGATATTTCTGTCACTGACCAGGCAGAATTGATTGTGGCTGTGTGGTTGTGATCTGCCCCTCTCCAACACTCTACCCTCACCTCCACCCCCTCCTTTTGGGCCGTGCATCTGTGGCCTGGCTCCCTGTGGTTTTATTTGCATGATCCTTGCTGTCTCAAATGTGCAGATTTTGTATTAGTTGCGCTCCTCTGGGCATTCTCTTGTCGGTGCCTTTACTCTTTCCCCAGTGCCACACGTTTTTGGTTTTTTTGTTTGTTTGTTTGTTTGTTTGCTTTTTGTTTTTGGCTAGGCAATGGGGTTAAGTGACTTGCCCAGAGTCACATAGCTAGTAAGCGTTATGTGTCTGAAGCCGGATTTGAACTCAGGTCCTCCTGACTCCAGGGCCAGTGCTCTATCCCCTGCGCCACCTAGCTGCCCCAAATATTTGCTGATACCTATTTTTTTTAAATTTTTTTGGGGGGGTAGGCAATGGGGTTAAGTGACCTGCCCACGGTCACACAGCTAATAAGTGTTATGGGTCTGAATTCACATTTGAACTCAGGTCCTCCTGAATCCAAAGCCAGTGCTCTATCCACTGCGCCACCTAGCTGCCCCCCAGACGTTTTTCTGATTCTTGCTTTCCAGGGACGCAGAGAGGTCAATTTCAGTGGAGTGGTGAAGCTGGAGGCCAGATCTGCCTCAGGCAGCTCACTCCCTCTTATCATCAAAGGCTGGCCCCCCCTTCCCCTTGCTTGCCACCTCAGAGTCGTTGTCCTCAAGGCCCCCTCCTCTCCAGCCTGTTGTCTGACTTTCTGTCCGCTCACTGCTCAAGCCTCCTCATCTGGTGCCTGGAAGGTTATTGGAACTACTTCCTAATTGGTTGGTCTCACTGCTTGGAGTCTTTTCCCTGTCCAACCCACCCCCACAGCTGCCATGGTGACCTTGCTAAAGTACAGGCACTGGGTCATCCTGCCAGTGGCTTTCTAGGAGCTCTAAGACCTCACGTAGACTGGCCTTCAGGCTCTTCTGTCCCGGCCCCTTCCTCTCTCTCCGGCCTCCACATCACTGTCCTTCACTCTGGTCTGGCCAGGCTGTTTCTTGCATTCCAACTTCATCTCCTGCCTTTACACCTTTGCCCTGGCTGTCCCCTGTGCCTGGGATATGCTCCCTCCTGACCTCAGCCTCCGCTCAAAGCCCCCTTCTGCAGGAGGCCTTTCCATGTTCCTCCAGAAGCGATTAATGCTTTCTCTGCTAAGTTTCTTTGTAGCTACTTCACCTGTATCTCTTAGATATCTGTGTTTGTAAACATCAGCACATAAACTACCTGAGGGCAAAAATTATATTGCTTCTTCTTAGCAAGTGTCTGGAAGACAGTAGGTACGTAGATGCAAGTTTCTTGGTTGATGGAAGGTGTCATGTAGAGTGGGCCCATTGTTGGGCTCAGTATCCAGAAAAACAAGATTTGAATCCTGTCTTAGACACTTCCTGGTTAGATGACCTTGGGTAAGTCACTGTACTTCCACCTGCCTCCGTTTTCTCAACTGTAAAATGAGGATCATCATAGCATCTGTATCACTCATAGAATTGTTGGAAGATAAAGTAAAGATAGGCATGGGAAGTGTTTTGTGAACCTGAGCCCGAGAAATGTCAGGTTCTCTGGTAGTTCCTCTTTGCCAGTTTTCTTTTTCAGCTATTCCTCCTATTCTTGTCTACTTTTCCCTATGAATTGTGTTAGGACTTTAATTCTATGGAAAAGCCTACTGCTGTTCGGACTGGTATGGCATTAAATCCAAGAGGTAGCTTGGGAAGGTTTGCCACTTTATTAAATTTTTTTGACCTACCTATTCGGAGGGAAACAAATATATTTAATTCAATACATCAGGAATTTATAAAATACATACTATGTGTCAGATGTTGTACCAGGCCCTGGAGACTCAAGGGCCAAAAGAAAAACAAGCCCCACCCTCCGGAAGCTTCCATCCCACTGGGGCGGAGTGGGGAGAGATTGTGACCTATGTCAGTTAATAAATAGAAAATCGACAGTAGACAGAAGAGACAGAAGACCAGAGATCCAACCTCGGCTCCACTGCTTAACTATGGCAGCATTGACCAGTCTCTCTGGGCCACAGTTTCCTTATCTATAAAATGCAGAGGTTGGATTTGGCAGCTTCTGAGGTCTCCTCTAGCTTTAAATCTACAATCTGTGATGCCCTCTGCGTACCACCTCATTGGCAGGGAGGGAGTGGGGATTGGGGAAGCCCCTTGTAGCAGTCAGCTGATGAGCTGAACTTTGAAGGGAGCCAGGGATCCCGAGAAGCCAGGAAGAGAAGTGAGAATGTTCCAGGAAGGTGGGCGATAGAATCTCTTATGTCCAGAAGATCAAGGAAGCACTTTTAGGACATAGAGCACGGAGGGAGGGGAGCAATGTGAAATTTGAAAAGGATTTCTTCCCTGAGTTTTATTCATTGTTTATCTTCCTTCCTTTTTATTCTAGACTTTTACTCTTTGGCTCATGGCCCTCACACTCATTTCTTCCTTCTTTAATTAAAGCTACTATTTCCCCTTCTAAATGGGTGCTGTGGTTTTGTCTTGTTGATCCGGCCCCCAGGCCCTTTTTTCCATTGTGCCTCACCCCAGAAATATCAGTTCCTGAAGGGTTACATAGAGAAGTACTGCTCCTGGTAGGAATTTTCCTGTGTCCCTGGTTTTGAGGGGCCCTCCCCTCCCTGGATCCCCTTTCCCCATTTGTCATGAAATCTCTATGTCCTCCCATGATTTTGGGTGTTAGTTGTCCTCAGAAGATCTGATTCCCCTTGCAGTGCTCCCTCTAAGCCAAATCCTGGTAGACTTGACCCACTGGAAGGTCCTATCTCCCATTATAAAATACCCCTTCGGGAATATTCTTCAGTGGGATCCCCTCCCAGAACTAAGAGGAGATCTTCCCCTTTCTCTCCCCATTTCATCCCCTCGCCTTGCCACCTCGCACATCTCCTCTTCTTCCTGAAAGACTAAAGGAGTTGGTTTTCCTTCCTTGTTAACTATTGACTTGGTGAGGGTGCAGCACACACTCCCTTCTGTCTTCTTTCTTCTTCTCTCCCATGCAGCTGGTCAGAAACAATGGCTCAGCTGTGGACAGAGTGAGACAAGGTAGAGTCTGTGGTGATTCAGGCCTGTTCTTCCACCTTTGGTTCTTCCATTTAAGCTCAGGTTTCACCCTTATCTCTTCATGTGCTCTCCAAAAGAAACCTCTTAATGGTCCCTCTTGTTATTTTGTATTAGTAGTTGTTAACTGCACAAGTGTCTGGTTTTGTTTTGTTTTTTAAACTCAGGGTAATTGATTTCAATACTCCTGCCTCCCTTGGTTGCTTTTTGTGTTTACCCTTCTTGTATTTCTGTTGTCTGGGGTGTTTGCAAAGCAAACAATCTGCCTATGTCTAGTTTTCTTTCTAGTAATGCTTCAAATGCCTCTTTTTAATTGAATACCCATTTTTTCATTAATGATTAGGCTCAGGTTTGGGGGGTCAGGTATGTCACCTTAGGTAGTTTCTTGACCTCCTTTCCTCTTTGGAATGTATTATTCTATTCTCTCCTGTGGTTTCTGGGAGAGTTTCAGAATAATCTTGTATTATTCAAATGTCCTTTCCTTTATATTTGAAGATCTTCCATTAAATTTTGGTGGCTCCCTATCACCTCCAAGATGAAATATAAATTCCTATTTGTTTTTGTAAAAGCTCTTCATTACCTGGCCCCTTTCCACATTTCCATTCTCCTTGTACCTTACTCTCTCCACATGTAACTCTCTGATTCAGTGATTCTGGCCTCCTGGCTGTTCCATGAACGAGATCGTCCCTCTCCTGACTCAGAGCATTTTCTCTGGTTATTCCCATTTCCATTCCTTGGAATGTTCTCTGCTCACCTCTGACTCTTGGCTTCCCTGGCTCCCTTCAAGTACCAACTAGTTTCCCCTTCTACAAGCAGTTTCCTCAGTCCTCCTCAGTCTTAGTGCCTTCCGTCTGAGACTACCCCTGTTTGTTGGCCTCATTCCAGTGAAGGCACTGGCCGCACAGCTTCTTCCTTTCCACTGGACAAGGTGATGGTGGTGATGGGGGGAGGGCAGAGTTGAGTTCTGTGGCAAATATGCTTCCTGCTTTCCATGGTGGGGGGTTGTGGTGGGCACAGAGAGGGGTTTGTTTGGAGGCTTGGCTTGGGTGAGCCTTGGGTTGGCATTATGCAGCTCTGTCAGTACAGGAGTCTGTGAGAAAGGGATGCTAAGTGAGCTCCTGAAGGATTTGCTTTCTCTGCAGTTTGTACATTGATTGATTACCTCATTAGCATTCTTGATGTCTTAGCTCATAGAGACAGCAGAAATTGTTTTGTCTCTTGGGAATGATCCCCATGAATTTGGGAAAAAATGTCTAGTCCTCCATAATGCAGGTCATGTAACAGAA